CTTTTTCTAATAGGTAAACAACTACAGTTCCTTGATCTAGAAGTCTATAATATGAGGTTTTATAACCAACTTTTTCTATAAAATTGCACAAGGAAAGTTTTATTTTGACATGAAATGTATGTATTCAGGGAATTCAGTGGTAGTTTTAGAAGTGTGATGAGCAAAGCTCCAGAATTTGATGATTAAGTGCATATTTTAAATTCAACAAGGTTTCCCAACAAAGCACCAAATGTCAAAGTTTAAAGTCTCAATAAGTAAAACCTAAGAACTTAAACACTAGTCCTCATCAGACAGAGGCTCATATTGTGAAGACAAAAGAGAGACAGGCTGCGGGTCACGAGACGCGGATGATGGACAGTTGTTAGATGAACCAAGTGATGGACCGTGCGACGTGAACTGATTAGTTGAGTAGACCAAGGCCATTGCTGGTACAGAGCTCTGTGGTGATGTGGCACTATTTTCTGGATGGCCCACAGAACGAACGGTAAGGGCTGAAAAAGGATACGCATATGTAGTGGTCACACCAGTAAAACTAGAATATGATGGTGATCCAGAAGGCATCACAGAGCTGGAGGGTCCCGGGCTGCTGCATGGTACTGTACTGCTAGATACAGATGCTGATGGACCATAGGGAGAATGGCAAACTTGTGCTGAGCTGCTTTGACAAAATGAAGAGGTGACGGTATTATTCTGAGCTACATCACTGCTGGTGGAGCTTGTTGCTTCCTCAAAACCTTCAATTTGTCCTGATGTAGAAACCCTTTCCTGAAGTGGAGAAATTGGTTCAATTCTGGAGGAGGATGTATTGTTCACATTTGATGATTCATCAACTATCATTTCTCCAGAAGATCCTGGACTGTCTACGAGTTGGGAACTCGCATCAGGTAGTAACCTGTCTTCAGAGTTACCAGAAGTAACTTCACATTGTCGTCTTTCATTTCCATTGTCATCTGTAGAACTCTCAACACCAGACACTCTATCTTCCTGCTGGATTGCCTGAGGGCTAGAATCTGATATCCCACTACCTGTTACTGTATATGGAGAATTATAACCTTTAGTAACTAAGTTATTATTATCACAACACCTTCCTGAACTGCTCAACTGAAGAAATTCTTGTAATGTGCTTTCAGAACTCTCTGGAAGTTCCTGTAAAACTTGCTCAGTGGAGCTCTTCGGCAGGGAAGTATAATCTATTCTAGACCTTTTTCCTAATTCAACACCCAAATCAGAACTACTAGATGATACAGATTTAGAAGTCAACCGTGGTTCTTCTAGGCCTGCTGTATCAAAAGAGCGCTTTAGACCCTTTGAACTTTCTACAGGTTGGATAAAACCTACATCAGAAGAAGCTTGAGATATTGTGACACCCCGTGTATTATATATTGGTTTAATCTGAGAAGACTGTGGTTGCTGAGGAGAAATGGAATTTCCATTACTCTGAGGCCTTTCCAACAAATTGGTCGATTCATTCATAGTGTGCTGTAAACTTGGAAACTTTAAGTTTTCATTCCTTACGGCCTGGTTACCGAGTGTCTGGCTCTGAATCTCGATGCTTTCAGTTTTCATCACTTCAACTATTTTGTTTTTAACATAATCTAATGGGGACAAGTTCATCTGGTGGTGATTAGATGTAGAGCAAGGTGATTGTGGATGGTGCTGTTTAGAGGCAAACATTCCGGCAATGCTAGCACTAGGTGACCACGTAAAATTCTGAGAAAGCGTGGGCAAAGTATTTCCTAGAACGTTTTCATTGCTTAACTCATTGTTGGCCTCATTTTTTTGTAATGGTGGAGAAATAGGTTCCACAGCATATGACGTTAATGGCAAGGTGTGATGGTGACCAGGAGGTCTCGATGACGGACGAGCTTCGTGAGTTACAGAAGTTGTGTGCCTCTCATTATGGTTTGGAATAGAACTTGTGCCCAGGGACTGAGTATCTAGAGAAGTGTAATTCCTTTCTGATTGAAGGGCTTTACGAAGTTTCCAGGAGTGGTACACACATCTAGATCCTGGGCAGTCTTTAGCAAGGTGATCTGATTCTCCTAGAGAAGAACATGACGTTACTGTTACTGAAGTCACCCCTTCTATGGGTCTCCTACCATTAACTGTTGAACAATGAGAGTCAACTGATGGGAGGTTTCTAGATACACCAGAATATGTTAAAAACTCGGAAGTTCCTTTCCGTGGGATATCTAATGTCACAGTACTTTGTACACTTCCTGTGTTTGTGGACGAATAAGCACTGGTTGATACACTGCAATTACTAGAACAATTATAGTTCTTGGAGATTATGTCCTCTATCTGCTGTTTAAGAGTGAAAACGTGAACAGGATCCAATATAACAGGATCATCCTGAATATGATCGTGTGTTCTACAAGTATCCGTTTTACCAAATCTGTCGGCAGCTGACGTTTCCTCTGTGGTCGTTACTTCATCATTTCCAAGTGATCCTTTTATTGCTCTTTGTCTCGTAAGACTTTCATTCAGTTGGTGCACAAAACTGTTGTCCAAGTTATGATTTCTTGGTTCGGTGTCAGGGTTTTGGCTGATTTGGCGTGTTATTATAGCATCAATCAAGTGTACTGCTGTAAACTGGTTATTTGTTGGCCGTACTTTTGGCTTCTCTTTCTGAAATGATTCAGATAGAATTCTTGCCGCTTCTCTTCCTAATTCTGATTGATGGAGAAAGTGACCTAAATGAAGAGGGTTTTCTAATTTCCTCTTTGCATCAACTGGTGAAGTTTCTTTCATTTCTTCATTCCAATTTTGGGCAGTCTTCTGATCCTTTCCATTCTTTGCATTTATCAGTTCTTGTTCAAACTTTTCTTGAGTGAATGGTTCCTGCATTGAGTGTATGCTGCTTGAAAGCTGGTGGTTCAATCTCTGTTCTCCAGCAACTATGTTGTCTACTCCACACCTGTAATGAGCTGGCAGACAAGAGGTTCTGTCTGCTATTTGTGGCAGGGACTCTCTCTCATCTTCTCCCTCTACCTTAGAGCTGAAGTATCTTTGTATGGGTTCTATTTTGTAATACTCCTGAAGACGTGGAGAGTCTGAAGAACTAGATTCACAGAGAGATCTGGGATGTTGCTGCATGTTCGTTAATGATCTTTGTTCACTTTGCATAAATGTTTGGTTGAGTGGAGATCTATTTAACTCTGGCCTCTTGTCTTCTTTCAGTATTGTCAAACTAGGCTGAGCAATGGCAGTATCTACAAGTGTGTTGAAGTCATCATGAGACAAGGCCAACACTGGATGACTGGCAGGGTGTGGTGAAGGTGGTTTTTTTCAGTAGCAGGACTGAAGGACTGCGGGGAACAGGAAGATGATGATTTGGGTACCTGAATAACTGAAGGTTTACCTGTACCCCAGGTTATGCTCCTGATGATATTTTGTCTTGAAAGTGGCTGGCTTAGAGCCGCATTAAAACTTTGGAGGTCTGGCTGCCTTCTATGAAAAGCCCACTGGTTTTCTGGAGAATGGCTAAGAGACTGATCCGTCATTGAAGTTGAAAGTGGAGTACCATGAATTTCTGGTGCAGAAAATGACACATTAGCACACACTTGGGATAACCCAGAGTCTTGTTGTAGTAGATGAGGACTAGAATCTCTGGAAGATTGAACTTTACTGCTCTCTTTATCCGATGTGAAACTTCCTCTATTCATCTGTTTAGAAGTATTAAAATCAATCATAAGTTGCTTTGAGCTTGAAGTATCACTGACAAAACCAGCTCTGATGGTGTTGGAGGAGATCTTGTAGGCTGATTGGCTAGAAGCATACGGTGAGGACGTAAGTCTGTGACATTCCCGATCGACGACTTGTTCATACGTCATTGGTACTGCAGTCTTGGAAAGTACTTCCGTTGAGAATGGTGAAATTCTTCTGTTGCTTCCTCCTTCTGTACCTGATATCGGTAAACAAGCGGATACTGTACAAAAATTTGATTTCATGGGTCTTTTCTGATCATGTAATGGCGTACCATGTGTTATAGAACCTACATCTTTAAGTTGTGTAGGATGAATTGGCCTTAGAAGGCCTTCATGGTTAGATGGATTTAATGGGATGTTAGGGTTAGGGTACAGATTGAGAGGTGTACCCTGGGTAATGGAACCAGATGATATATGAGGGAACTTAGAATTTGATGGCTTGCTGTTTGTTATCAAGGGTGGTAGAGGAACAGTGAGTCCAAGTGTTTGCTGACCTGGAGATATGTTAATAGAAGGTGATGGTGGTGGAGGAACAGTGAGCCTACGTGTTTGCGGGCCTGGGGAGGAAGCCTGAGCAACCAAATGTGGAGGCTGTAAATGCAAACTGTCCGATTGAGCAAAACCAGCTCTTCCTAGACAGCTGAAGTGTGTATCTCGAGAAACATCTAGTGAAGAGAGTGGAAGGATATCTGGAGGAGGTTGCGAGGACCGACTGTACTGGTTTGAATGAGCGGGAGGTGGAGCACCATATTGGGAATAAGGAATTTGTTGGTGAAGTACTCCAGATCCTGAAGGTAGTTGAGAAGAGATTCTTTGAGTTGGAATTCTTAGATCTTTGTCTTTCTTACTGAGATCTTGTACCTCATTTTGTTCTCGAAGAAGAATCTGTGAAAACTGTGCCATCATGGCCAAACCTTCAGCATCAGGTATAGAAACAGGTAGTACAGAAGACCCATGAACTACTTGTGGGGGTCTACTTAGACAAGCTTCAATCTCCTCCTGCCTGACTTCTACAGAGTTATATGAACCCTTACTGTGTGAAGTAACTGGTACCGGGGTACTTGTGTGGGAAGATTTATTTGGAGCTTGGAGACTGTACTCGATAGCTTGGTATATCAAGTCACGAACACAAGTGGGCTCTCCTTTACAAGGTCCTTTTCCAACAGGCACATTGTACTGAGAACAGGGAACGGGGATTGGTGATAAAGCTTTTGTCACTGGAACATGATCTTTAGGCTCAATGGTGTCATCTGAAACCAGTATATTTTGTATTATACTGTTTAACTCTTTACGACGAAGTTGAGATCCATTTTGTCCTTGGTCTTCATCAGCACTCATCGTGGCACTGCTATCGTAGTCAAGGCTATTCTTCAAACTGTCTGTAGATTTTCTCAAGTTCATGTTTTGGTCAATGGTTTCTGGTACTTCTTTCGACTTCATACCTGCTGTAGAAAACACGAATAGAAACATTTTACTGTTATGATTAAGAGTCTTAAACACCAACAGAATCTTTAAATTTTTAGGCCTACAAATAAACCACAGTTGTTTTAATAGCAATGTATTCTTGGCCCAAGGTGGTCCTATGTTCTAATTATAGAAGGCCATCATTTATTTTTATGACCTAGTAGAATGGGACTTATAAAGAAAATAAAAATTTGTAACATTTTCTTAAATGCATAAATGTGAACTTTCAACATATCAATCACAAGTGTGTGGATTAGAAATTCTGACATCAGGCTGGATGTGACCTTTCAGTCAGACCACACTGATTTAACTATATTTAAGCTACGATTGACCTTAAACAAGGATTCACTATTTACGATGGCCCTCAAAAGATCAAGTTACCAAAAAAAAACATGGGTCTGTACATTGAAACTTTGTTTTTAGAAGTTGGTAGATAATTAACTTCGCTAACGATGTTTGACTTTCACAAGTTGTTCCTCTAGAAGTGGATTATCAGATTCACATTATATATTACACTCAAACAATCTTTCATTTGTACCATACATGTCTATATACAAATAACAAACATTAGTAAAATAACAATTTGGTGGTCATTTTTAATTTATGCATTTCATGTTCAGCACACTCAAATTAACCAAATACGCCTTAGGGAGGATGCTTTTTCCAATATCCATCCAATCTATCTTGGTCATGATCAAATTTGATAAATAACTAGTTTTTTTTTTATTTGTGTGTGCTGTTTGAATACAATAAACATAAGAAATATATTCAATAAATAAAGAATATTTCGCCATTGCTGACGCTACTTGCTAAACCTAACTAGGCTTACCTGATGTCTTGTCATAGGAGAAAATTTAATTTCACGAATAAAAAAATCTAGAATAATTATAAAAAAAATCCCAGATCTGTAGTTTGTTTTAATGTTTCTTAAACTTCCCAAGTTTAAGTGAATCATAAAAGCCTGTTTAACACAATGCTATAAGCTTTTCATACAATACAATATATATACACACAAACATAACCTAATTGCTTGTTGTGACATTTCACTTCTAGTATAATATATATACACAGTTATAGTACGCACCTTCTTCACCTATATCAGGACTTAGAGCGCTGGCTGTGTCACTGCTACACCTATCGATACAGTTATCTTCTTCACAGCTTGATGTAATTTCTCCAGAATCCTCATCCTTTGTCCCAAAATCTTGGAGTTTCCGTTCAATAATCCGATCTTCGTCAAGCTAGCACGTAAGAAATTTATTTTTAGAAAATGATAGTTATCATATAAAACCAAATTAGGAAAGTCTAAATATGTTTAAACTGCTCTTTTTTTTTCCCAAAGAAGTTTAACATTATTAAAAGTAGTAATGCTATGTTGATAAAACTGGGAAACATTTCATTCTACTATTTAGTGATAGTCTGTAGAAAAACAATTAAAAACTCTTTCCATATTCTTCTTACTTTTTCAATAAAAAAAATTAAACAGTTTAATTATTTTGAGTTGTTAATCTATTACCTTTGTTTACTAGTTGTTTAATCTACTACATTTACGAGTTGTTAACCCTTGTTTACTAGTTGTTTAATCTACTACATTTACGAGTTGTTAATCCTTGTTTAATCTACTACATTTACAAGTTGTTAACCCTTGTTTACTAGTTGTTTACCCTTGTTTACTAGTTGTTTAATCTACTACATGACAATGATAATATTTTTTATTACAGTAATCTTGAGCTACCTTCACAGGCATCTATTAGATTTACCTGTTTGTCACCTTTGTTAGATGCTTCTACATTCAACTTCTCTTTAAAATGTAAGTACAAGTATTGGCAGTCCTCCTTAGTTTTACTGGTCACCATCTTCAGTATGGATTCCCAGTTTTTTCCAAACTGTCGCAGTCCGCATTTGAATAGTTCAATTTCTTCATTACTCCACTTCTCTAGCTCAGTATCTGTATACAAAAGGAAATATTTTATCAGTCCCTTTATGTTCTGCACGTGGCACCCCCTCCACAAAATAAAACATTTATTGTTTGCTTTGTCATTAAACTATATTACACCAAAACTAATGACTAACGAAAGTGTAAAATGACATGGGATTAAACATGTAGAGCACTGTAATAAACGTAAAGAACTTTACGGAACGTAGTTATGACTTATTACAAACTTCACCATTCTAAAAAAAGTTGAAATATTGACTTCATGCTTAAAATACATTTAGTATTTACCTTTCGACTTAGATGGTATTCCTAGCTTACGAGAAATACGGTTAAAACACCCACAACAGCATGCCTGAACTCCTTGTGGGATTTCTGAAATTCAAACTAAACTCAATTAATTACTGGATTATGAAAGCTTTACAAATACACACACACACATATATATTATCTATAATTCCTGTTTGACTAGTTAAGTTATCTATCTGTAAGATTCTGTGCTGATGGAATTTAAAAACAATATTTATTAAGCTCTTGGGTTTGAAATCTGTGTAGGAATAGTACATGACACATGTTTAGTGGGCTCAATATCTAACACACTATGGATGGTTAGAGGACTTCACATCTGTGTAGGAGTAGCACATGACACATGGTTAGTGGGCTCAATATCTAACACACTATGGATGGTTAGAGGACTTCACATCTGCGTACAAGTAACACACTATGGATGGTTAGTGGGCTCGACATCTGTGTACAAGTAACACACTATGGATGGTTAGTGGGCTCGACATCTCTGTACGAGTAGCATGTGATTGATGGCCTGTATAAGTGCGTACAGTTTGTCAAGAAAGATTGAAGGAAGACTAAGAAACTTTTTGAATGTATATTAAGTAAACATTAACTAAAAGTACTAATTTTATTTTCAAACCATTTGGTTATATAAGAAAAATATAAATCATTCTGTTTAAGTTTATGGTTTATTAGAGCATATTTCAACAATAACCAACAAATTACTAACTCAATGTTATATTTCAACAATAACCAACAAATTACTAACTCAACGTTATATATCAACTATAACCAACAAATTACTGACTCAACGTTATGGTTTATTAAAGTATATTTCAACAATAACCAACAAATTACTGACTCAACGTTATGGTTTATTAGAGTATATTTCAACAATAACCAACGAATTACTAACACAACATTATATTTCAACAATAATCAACAAATTACTAACTCAACATTATATATCAACAATAACCAACAAATTACTGACTCAACATTATGGTTTATTAGAGTATATTTCAACAATAACCAACAAATTACTAACTCAACATTATATATATAAACAATAACCAACAAATTACTGACTCAACGTTATATTTCAACAATAACCAACGAATTACTGACTCAACATTATGGTTTATTAGAGTATATTTCAACAATAACCAACAAATTACTGACTCAACGTTTGACTGTAGTGTAGAACCATGTTATGACCAATAACTCAGACAAGTTATCAATACTTTATTCTGCTGGTTTTATCAGCGTTCACTTAAATAAGTTTTAGATCATCTGAGATTGTGAAAAACTATGTAGGATTTTTAATTGTTAATGATATTGGTAAGGCTTAGAGCTTTCAAATGATGTAGATAAATCTTGAAGTTAGACCAAAAAAACACAACATAGACTTATGATAACTTGAATTTAAGTTTTAATGTTCACGTCTTATATCTCGTCTTCAGTTGATTCCTACAGTTTCTCATGCAACAATAAACAAAAACAAATTTATCGGCCTTATTCTAACTGTAGCGAACATACGGAATTCAGCAACGACCGAGTCTCTTAGTTGTTCGGATACTTCATCCCACTTGCTGGGGAATGAGCGTAATCGCTTTAACTTCTGTTTAGATGTTTTACAAGTTGGAATGGGACAGCTGTAAGAGAAATAATTACATTTAGCAACACAACTTAGTGACTACAGAAAACATCTGTAATACTCTATGACATCGTTAGGTATTTAAATATATATACTGATATCAGCATAACGCACCGTCTGTATATGGTGTGGAGACACAGAACATCAACGTCATTAAAGGACAGATGGTACTATAATAAATCATCATATGTAAAATTCTGAAATACTAGGTGCAATATAATCTCTGAAGTACCGGTAGTACCACGGTGTAGCGTATTCCTTCAAGTACCGGTAGTACCACGGTGTAGTGTATTCCTTCAAGTACCGGTAGTACCACGGTGTAGCGTATTTCTTCAAGTACCGGTAGTACCACAGTGTAGCGTATTCCTTCAAGTACCGGTAGTACCACGGTGTACAGCACAGTGTATTTTCTTGAGAACTTTTAGCATCATAACAGTGTATTCTCTCAAGTATTCTGAGTACCATAAGAACTTCTCTTGAATACTCTGAGTACCACAGTGTATTCTCAGGAGAACGGTTAGCAAAATAGCACAGAATACATAATAAATCTATATAATGTAAAAAATACTTGGTGTTGCTAACACTGACAAAAACAATCCAACAACGTTAACAAGGTACTAGGAACACTACAGTATATAGTATACTAAAAAAAAGCCATTATCAAACATTTATCTACTGTTAGTCTGATAGGTCACCGGTACTTTCTTAAAGAGTTATACAAATATAACAAGTGTTTTTACCTTATAAAATACTGATGTACAAACCACAATGTTTTTTTAATTTAGTAAAAAATGTTAGAAAAAAATTCTGAGCTTAAAATATTCTTTACTTTACAATTCATATTTGAACTGGTCAGTTTTCTCTGGTCAATCAGGTTAAAAAATAACTAAATAAACTGTCTAACCAAAATATCAGTTATCTTAGAATAACTATCTCTTCATTATGAAGACATTTAATTTCAACCTTCTTCTTGTAGACTTGATGTTACATGATGAACAAACGTGCAAATCTGTTCCTTTTAACCCAAAGCTATTACAGTTGGACTTGGTCGCATGATGAGACTGGCTTAAGTTGTCAAGAAAAATATGACAGACAGCACAACGACTGGTTTCACCTACATAAAAACCAATAAAGGATAAAGGTACGTTACAAAAACTCGCACATCGTAACCATAACAACATTCGTAACACCGTCAAAAAGAGATCTGAAAGAGCTGGTCAGTTTCCCATAAATACATATCTAAGAGAGCATAAAATTATGTTACAAAAAAACTAATATATCACAGTCAAATTATGCTATATAACGCTAACATTATGAATCAAAATATTTTTGTACGTAACAAATTCTCAAGAGAATGTACATAATCACAACTCGATAATTAGGTTGTTATAGAATCAAAATATTTTCGTACATAACAAATTCTCAAGAGAATGTACATAATCACAACTCGATAATTAGGTTGTTATTTCTTCAAATAGTTTTTAAAAAGAGTTATTTTGAATTCCACTACTGTATGAAGTATCTCATTTTTTGGATATTTTTCAAAAATTAAATTATTTTTTAAAATGCTTTAATAATAATAAAAAAAAAGCTATACAAATTATACTCAAGTACTTAGTTCTTTAGCATCTAGAAACAAAAAACAGGATTAAGTATATTTTTTTCTTATCCCTTAAACACTAGATTAAAGGTTATAATAAAACTTTAAGAGGGTTAGGTAAGAAGAGATTTTTTAAAAGCACTAACAATAAGGGCAGAATCAAATTTTTGTTTGTTTGTTTGGGTATTTCCAAATGGGTAACCTGAACATAGCCATAACTGATTTGGAACTGATAAGATTAGATGGAAGGTACTTAGTTAACAGCACCCACTGCCAACTCATGGTTACTCTCAATGGATAGTAGGATTTTACTGTCACTCTTATAATGCACCCATGGCTCTAAAAGTAAAGCCTGAATTTGCAGCAAGGGACATGAACCTTCAGATTCACAGTCCAGCATGTTAACCGTTACACCATAGGACATAAACTCTCAGATTCATAGTCCGGTATGTTAACCGTTATGTCATGGGACACTAACCATGAACCTTCAGATTCACAGTCCAGCATGTTAACCGTTACACCATAGGACACAAACTCTCAGATTCATAGTCCGGTATGTTAACCGTTATGTCATGGGACACGAACCATGAACCTTCAGATTCACAGTCCAGCATGTTAACCACTAAGTTACAGCTGGCCAACTGAAATTTATGGATGTGAAATTCATTTTTGATATTACAAAAATCAAAGCTTCTTGTCTCGTTTATCGTAAGGTCAAAATTTTTACATGTAAACACACACAAAAAAAAAAAGTAATGAGAATAGACAAAATAGTTTTTATTCTCTGTAATGAATACAAATAAATTAGACAAAATGATTTTTTAATTTTCACGGTTTTCTTGTCTTTTAAGTTTCGTAATCAATCTTAACCTAGAGTGACTTAATAAACCATTAGTAGTATAAGGTAAACCAGATCTTCTTTTTTTTTGATAATTCTACTTTACCAGAAATCTGTTACTCACCCTCTATTCAAATCTGGGTAAACTGTTTGGTGTAATAATCCATGAAAAGAATATTTATTACTTGTAGACTATCGGGGGACAGTAATTTTAAAGTACTATAAAATGACAACCGTTCCTAGTCAGCACAAAATGTCTAAAGAACAGTATTAAGGTTGAAGATTCTCCAGTTTTAACTCATTCTCCTGGTCCTCAGCCAGCTGTAATCGAGCCAACAGTAGAATACCAAAATGGCAATATGTAAACAAAGTACTTACTTTTCTATAAAACTTATAATAAGATAATTATAAATGCCCTCTATGAGATAATGCACTCACTACACATAAAATTTATTCAAAGTTTGATACTATAAAGCCACAGGTTTTTCTTAACCCAGTTTTAATATACAAAAAAAATAACAAGTTAACATCCAGTATCTTTTTTGTGACTTTCCTTAAAGCATTTAATATAATTTAAAATAGAAACAAAAGCAACATACTATAAATAACACAAACTATATTAACAATGTAGACGTAGGGCTTTCGGACACACTATAACTGGGACGACAGTGTTGATTTTGCAATATTTTAAGGGCTGTTTTTTTTTACTAACCCCAAAATATTCCTTGCTTTATCGTCTACCAACATTCTCTTCAATAATTAGACCACCTTTAAAACAAATGTGTGTGCCATATAACTTGCTTCAGCTATATTTAAACTGTAAGTTGTTAGTTGTTTTCACATGAAAAACTAATGCTCTCCACAACAGTTAATCTGTTTAACACTCAATAAGCTGTTGTTTTCCACTACAGTTAATCTGTTTAACACTCAGTAAGCTGTTATCTTCCACTACAGTTAATCTGTTTAACACTCAGTAAGCTGTTATCTTCCACTACAGTTAATCCGTTTAACACTCGATAAGCTGTTATTTTCCACTACAGTTAATCCGTTTAACACTAGATAAGCTGTTATTTTCCACTACAGTTAATTCGTTTAACACTAGATAAGCTGTTATTTTCCACTACAGTTAATCCGTTTAACACTCGATAAGCTGTTATTTTCCACTACAGTTAATCCGTTTAACACTCGATAAGCTGTTATTTTCCACTCCAGTTAATCCATTTAACACTCAATAAGCTGTTATTTTCCACTCCAGTTAATCCATTTAACACTCAATAAGCTGTTATTTTCCACTACAGTTAATCCGTTTAACACTCTAAGCTGTTATTCCATTTTAACACTAAATAAGCTGTTGTTTTCCACTACAGTTAAAGAGTTTAGCACTAAATAAACTGTTGTTTTCCACTACAGTTAATCAGTTTAACAATTCAGAAAGCAAAACAAGTAATCACAAGAACCAGCAAAAGTTATAAAAAAAATTAATCAGGTTAAAAATTCTGTTCTGTTTATATTTTAATAAATAAATAAATATACATACATATGCTACCTGGTTTAGTAGGACATTAAAAGGTTCGATACAGATTTTCCCGAATGAAAGGTACCAACATTTTACTCTGCCATTTACTAGTGCAGCCAAATATACACACTTGTGTTGTCTGGTTTATAAAGAATTAGAAAAGTAAAGATAAAATAAATCACAATATCTGACCAAAACTGTGTTACAGTATACCAGATGCTGTTATAGATTGTTTCATTGTTAACTCACAATATCTGACTGCGTTACAGTTTACCAGTTGTTAACTCATAATATCTGACCGAGACTGTTACAGTATACCAGATACTGTTATAGATTGTACCACTGTTAACTCACAATATCTGACTGCGTTACAGTATACCAGTTGTTAACTCATAATATCTGACCAAGACTGCATTACACTTGCTGTTATATATATATATATATATATATATATATATATATATATTGTATCTATTGTAGCCTACGTTACTATAAAATAAAAATCAAGTGGAGGGTAGACAACTAATTTAAACTTATTTTTACCTATCTTCTT